TGGTGTGGAAGATGTACAACAAAAGAAGTAATTACAATAAAAAATTTGGTTAAGTCCCATGATTAAAAACAAAAACAAAAACAAAACCCAGAGATCTGAAAACCAGTAGAAATATCTCGATTCTTTTTCTAGCACATCTAATTTCTTATTCTAGAATACAGGAGTGGGTAGAGTCAGGTTGGGGGAGGAAGAAGTATTCTACTAGGCAGAGGGAACTGCTCCGCAGAACATCACTTGTTCAGGGAACTGGAAGGAAGTCAGGCTGACTAGGTGTACAATGGGAGTTGGGGCCGCAGAGACGGGCAGGCACCAGCTATTTCTAGACCACTGGTTTTCAAACAGCAGTCATGACATCAATCTAGTAAGTTATAACCTGCAGTTTTTAATGTAATGGAATAAAATATATTGGAGTGTAGCGCACATAGTAAAGGCACATTTTGCTTTTTAAAAAAAACCTTCTGTTTAGGGATGTGGACATACACGTGTTTTAGGTCACAGTATAAAAGATATTTTTTACTATGGTCATGGTCAAAATGTTTGAAAGTCAGTGCCCCTGCCACATAAAGGAGTGAACTTTAGCCTAGAGGCAAACCATTTTGGAGACAAACCACTGAGAAATTTAAGCTGGAAAATGGTATGATCAGATCTGTGTGTGTGTGTGTTGTTTTTATATGTTGTTTTAGAAAGATTCCTCATGCAGCACGTGGAGGATGGATCAGGGAGGGACAAGACTGGAGCCAGAAACCCGTTAGTTGCCTCTTTTTCATGTAGGCAAGAACCACTACAGAAGTGCCAGAGGAAAGGAGGGCTGAATGGACGGGATTTGGTAACTGATCAGCTGTGAATATGGTGAGAGAGGAGGAGGAATCAGGCTAGTTCCTACCTTGCTCCGATGGTGACGTATGCCACTCACTGGGCTAGGCAACCAAGGATAGGGACGGGGAGTTAAAGTCAGTTTTGAAATGTTTCTATTGATGTTAATTCAAGACGTAAAAGAGAATTTGATCAGCAGCAATGGGTTAGGTCGCCCTTCATCCCAGAGGAGAGGTCTGGGCCAGAGAGCTGACTGAGTGTTAATAGGGGACGAACGTGACAGTCCTCACTGAAGCCACAGCAGTTGACATGCTCAGAAAGAGGGTATAAAGAAGAAAAGACTTAAAGGATGAACAGAGAAAAGGAAATCTGGCAGAGGTGACTGAGAAGGTGCATCCACAGATAGGAGGAAAACAAGAGAATGTGGTGTCTGAGAAGCAGTGAGAAAAAAGTGTTTCAAAAAGTAGGGAGTGACTCAAGGATAAGAAAACACAACCTGATTTAAAAATGGGCCAAACACTTGGACAGACAAGTCACCAAAGAAGATGGGACAGGTGGTAAATATGAAAAGATGCTCATCATCAGGGAACTGCAAATTAAAATCACAAGCAACCACTACGCATCTGTCCATTAGCAGGGCAAACCTCCGCAGCATGGACTGTACACCATGCTGCCCAGGATGCGGAGCCAAGGGGACGCTCGCTCACCGCTGGTAGGAATGCAAAGTGCGGCAGCCACCTTGGAAGACAGCTTGGCGGTTTCTTACAAAACTAAACCTACTCTTCCATTCAGTCCAGCAATCACACTTCCTCCTATTTGCCCAAAGGAGTTGAAAGCTTAGATCCACATCAAAACCTGCACACAAAGTTTACAACAGTTTTATTCATCGCTGCCCAAACGTGGAAACAACCACAATGTCTGGCGAGCAAATGGATAAATAGGGTAAATCCACACAATGGAATGCTACTCAGCGTTAAAAAGAAATGAGCGACCAAGCCCCCAAAAGCCAGAGAGGAACCCTATGTACATACTACTGAATGAAAGAAGACCACATACCGTGGGATTCCAACTACTATATATGACATTCTAGAAAAGGCAAAACTAGGGAGACAGTAAAATGATCACTGGCTACCAGAGGTTGGGGGAAGGGGTCAACAGGTGCAGAGGATTTTTCGGGCAGTGAAATTGCTCTGTATGAGAGTATAATGGTGGATACATGTCATCATATATTTGTGCAAATCCACAGAATGGACACCATGCTAACGGAAACTACGGAATTTGGATGATAATCTGATGTAGTGTCGATGTAGGACGCAGGATGCTTGACTGTAACAAATATGCTACGTTGGGGCGCCTGGGTGGCTCAGTTGGTTAAGCGACTGCCTTCGGCTCAGGTCATGATCCTGGAGTCCCGGGATCGAGTCCCGCATCGGGCTCCCTGCTCGGCAGGGAGTCTGCTTCTCCCTCTGACCCTCCTCCCTCTCATGCTGTCTCTCATTCTCTCTGTCTCAAATAAATAAATAAAATCTTTAGAAAAAAAAAAAAAACCAAATATGCTACGTTGGTGGACACCGATCGTGGGGAGGCTACGAGTGAGGGGACGTGGGTATATGGGGACTGGCTGTACTTTCTGTCCACTTTTGCGGTGAACCTAAAACTGCCCTAAAAAATAAAGTTTATTTTTAAAAAAGGGTCAGTGCTAAGTACTGCTGGGCAGTCATGAAGATAAGGACCGAGGACCCCCAGCGGATGATGACAAGGATCACTGATGACTGGCCAGAGCGAGCTGCTGGACCCCATCTCTGCTGCCTTTTATAGTAAAATTGGGGATGGCTGTGCCTATTTCTTTTCACCATTTCCCCTCCATTCCTTTTCTGTCGTGGCCACACAAATTAGGTTTGTGCTCCCGCCCCTCCACTGAAACCGTCTTCCAACGCCGTCGCTGATCTCCACCTTCCCGAATCCACAGCTCCTGCTCATCTTCTCTCACCTGTCAGCAGCACCTGGCAGAGTTCCTCATTCTCTCCTCCTTGAAACATTTTCTTCCTTGTTTTCTAGGACGGCAGCCCCTCTGGCTTACCTCGCCGGTGATTCCCGTGCCGATCTCTCCTCATCTTCCTGATCTCTGACCATTAGTGTGGTCCGGAGATGAACCCCTGGACCCCTTCTCTAAAATCACTGCCTATAAAGTGATCCCATGTCAGAGCTGTAAATATTATCTATACACCGATGATTCACAAATGTACACCCCTGGCCCACAACTCCCAGCTAAGCTACAGCCCTATATTCAACTGCCTACACCAGATCTCAGCATAGAGGTATAATGCGCATCTCAAACTAAATGATCTAAAACATCTCTCCAAAACTAAGTATTCTTCCTTAGTCGTCCCAGTCTCAGTCAGCAGTAAATCTATCCTTCCAATTGCTCAAGCCAACACCCCTGGAGTTACCTTTAGTGACTCTTTCTCTCACATCAAATTCAACATAAATGCTGTTGGAACCAGACTGCCTAGGTTCAAATTCTAGTTTAGCCACTTCGTAGCTGTGTTATCTTGGGGAAAATTGCTAACCACGTCCTGGCTTCAGTTTTATCACTGCAACATGGGGGTGACAGACTTACATATCTCACAGGGTTGTTGTAATAACAAGACAAGTCAATGTTTATAAACTGCTTTGAATGGTGCCTGCCACACAGTATGGAGTATCTCTTCAATCTGACCACTTCTTACCATCTCCACCTCCACACCCAGTCTGGGAACGAGCCACCAGTATCTCTCATTTGGATGATTGCAAAAGTCTCCCTTCCTTTAGCACCTAACCCTTTTAACCAGCAGAGCAGCCAAAGTGGTTAAAAAAAAAAAAAAAAATCGCAGTCACATGCTTTTGACTTTTTTTGTGTGTTTGAAAAGTTAGGGAATAAACCAAAGTCAGATTGCATCATTCGTCTGTCAAAACCCTCTGATCCTTTGAATTTAGCTCAAAGTAAAAACTCAGGTCTTTCCACTGACTAGGCCCTAAAAGCAAGTTCTCTCTCACCTCTCTGCCCTCATCTCTCTTGTCCCTGTCACTCCTTTCAAGCACAGAGGCCCCCGGCCTGTTCCTTAAACACTCCAGCACACTCCCTCCCAGGGGCCTCTGCACTGGCTGCCCCCCCAGCAGGAAAGCTCGGCCTCAGGCCACACGGCTCATTCCCTCACCCTCCTTACGTCTGTGCTGAAATGTCACTTTCTCAGTGAAGGGGGTTCCCTGGTCGTACCTTTTCAAATTACCTCCCACCCACCAGCCCTGACCCCCTTCTCTACTTTATTTTTCTCACAGCCCTTATCATTATCAGACACACTATTAAACCATTAAAGCTAAGGAGACTGGAAGTGAAATCTAGAAAGAGCTCCCCCTATTTACTCTAAAAGGCACTTCCCATGTGCTCATCATACACTCTGTGTGTCGTTCCTTAAACTGAAAACATATTTAGGTAAAACGAATGAGACTGCTTACTGCACGGTCTCTGAGCTGTTCCTATCTCATGTGCACAGAAATGGTGATGAAATACTGTAGGTTCTGGGTATCTGGCGTCTGGAGTGTTACATCTTTCCAAGAGCTACTTACCCTACTGCCCACTCATTTGAAAAACACTTTTTTATTTGAGTCTGGGGGATACAGGTCACGGGAGGAGGAAAGGTGGCAGCAGCGAGACTGAGACGCAAAGTCCGCTCCATCCTTGGCATTCACTGCCACATTTCGGCGGGGCCCCACTAGATGGAAATACTATCATGAAAAAGAGTGGGACGGGGTGAAACAGGAATATTTATTGCCTTGCAACTATGTGATGGGCCGAACGACTCTTTCCACAGACTATTTAATTTAGTCTTCAGAGTAACGCCCTCACAAAACTGCCAGCCACTTACGGGGGAGGAAACCAAAGCTCACACAGACTTAGCCATCAGCCACACAACACGAGTAGCTATAGGCGGAGCTTAGCGCCGAACTCAGGCCACCTCAGCGGGGGCCACCGGACGCCACAGCCCGTACACCGTGTTCCTGGAGAACCTTGCTTCCGGAGGCGCCAATTCAGCAAACGGGAGCTAAGAAGGTTGTTAAGTGGGTCGTTTATACTCTGTCACCCAATTCCTGCGAGAACTCGGCATCTGTGAACCCCATCGCTGCTATGTGCTGGGTAACTACCTTACCTGTGGACATAAAAAACGGGATGCGGAACTTTCCACTCAGCACCCGGGCCCGCAGATTCTGCAGTGTGCTCCCATCAAATGGCAGGGCCCCACACACGAGCACATAGAGGACGACTCCAAGGCTCTGCATCCCAAACAGAGAGTACATACGATTAATCGCATCAGAGGAAACAAAAGAGGCCATTATAGGATGTGTATGAAGATGATGGTGAGTCATGCACAAGATAATGGAACTAACTTTTTCTTCTTCCTTTGTGAGAAATAATATGAGGCATTGTCAAGGCCAATCATCTTTAGGATAGTTAACATTCTTCTTTGCTTCCAGACATTAATTTTGGGTAACATATCTAGAATTTCTCTCAGCGCTCATCCTCGAGGGAGAAGGCAAGTGGCAACAACAGAAAGAATCTCTGTTCTTGGCAAGGGCACCCATCCAAGCTTGCTCTTGGGCTTTTTTTTTTTTTTTTGCAGCTGCAAAAGGGGAAGTTTGAAATCTGTGGCTCGGTCCCTACGACAAGAGCTGGAGGAAAGACTCCGCACAAGGAACTGGGAATTCAAAGCACAGGGGTCAAGGTGTCGATGCGTGTGCAGCATTCAATGTCCCCCAGGGTGACGGCGCTGTTCCCAGTGAAGGAGAACCACCAGCCCGGGGGCTGAGAGAAGACAGTACATACCCAGATGTCCACTTTGGGCCCGTCGTACTCCTTTCCCTCAAAGAGCTCAGGTGCAGCGTAGGGAGGGCTGCCGCACCAGGTCTTCAGCAGCTGCCCAGGAGTGAACAGGTTACTGAAGCCAAAATCTAGACAGACAAACGGACATACCTCACGTTACTAGCTTCTAGTCACTGAACAAAGGCTCTAGAGCGTTACATTTGAGCATCCAATGTGAAGAGAAACCATTTAGAAATTCTCCAACCAGCCACTGGAACATAACATAATAGTGAAAGGGAGATACAGATGAGCTGGAATGCCAAAGACCCCTGGTTAACTGAAGTACACGTGACAGGTTTATGTCAGCAGAACCAACACTGTTCCCTGCAGAAAGCCACACTGAGGGAGCCAAGCGTGCCTGTTGCTTTCAGACCATAGGTGGCATTGGATAGTGACTGATGTTAAGGCCACACCAGAATCAGTAACCACCTGAAAGCCTGCTCACCTGGACCCAGACTTTTCCTATTATTTTTACTTCTTAGGACAAACACATTTGCGACCACTAGAGACACATGGACTTGAAAATTTAGGTAAAGTGACATTATTATCATTAAGGTAGCTTATTCGAAAGGAAGAATAGGCAATTTATTTACACACTGAAACAGGAATATTTACAATTAAACTCCAAGTCCCTTTGTGCTTCAGCTTCCCCCCTACTTTTCTTCCCCTCCCGCTATTTTAGGAGAGCAGATGAGAGACAGGAGAGGGGAGAGGGGAGGTGTGGAGAGGAAGGCTCAGAACATGAGCAAAGATGGCAGGCCAAAGGACAGAGAGTTGCTGACTTCTGAATACTTTCATGTATGTAAGTATTTACGGGAATAACTCGTCTGGAAGCCAGCCGACTCCCTCCTGCCCCAGGTCTACCACATTCCCTGAGGTGACAGTGCCTGAAAAGGTTAGGCGCCTCCTTACCCTCCCCTCCCTAGTGTTACTGCCCTGGACAACTTGGTCTCCATTTGCTGTTTGCTTTACTCCTTTCTCCTTCTATACCACGTGTGTTCTTGTAAGGCCTGTGCTGATTTTGTCTCTCTCCTTGCTCTAAGGCTGACTCTTCTGGTCCCAAAGCTTCCGTTATCATTTGTTTGGTAATAATTCTCCAAGTTTCTATCCCTGGTCTTGGTACCACTCTTAAATTCCTGAACTTCTAATACTTACCTGGGAAGAAAGAGCTCAAACTCGCCATCTTCCGAAAACGAATCTGTTCTATTGCTCATGTTCCCATTAATGTTCATTAATGGCATTACCATCCCAGCTATTGGGAGCACTGGAGTCTCCCTTCTCCCCCTCATTTCCCATTCCCAACTGGTAATAAAACTTTTCCTGCTTCTACCCCGTGTGTCCTGAATCTATTTCCTTCCTTCTATTTCCATTCCTACCAGCTCAGCTCATATTCGTGTTCTCTCCGACCGAGATCACACATGGCTCACTACCTCCAATTCATTTCCCTCTAGGCCATCCATTCCTAGCGTGGGGACAGTCAGGCTAATCATGTTGTGTCAACTCCTCACTCAAAAACACGGGGGGGCTCCCATCTGCTCACAGAACAGTCTAGCCCTCTGAGCCTTGTCCTTCAGGCTCCTCCACGGCCCAGCCCCACCCACCTTTCCAACTTTCCCCAGGCCTTCTAGCATTGCTAGACTACTCTGCATTTACATTCCTTCCTTCGGCTACTTCCTCTCTGTGCCATGCCTTTTCCTTTTTTTTTTTTTTTTAAGATTTTATTTATTTATTTGACAGAGAGAGAGAGCAAGCACAAGCAGGGGGAGTGGCAGGCAGAGCGAGAGAGAGAAGCAGGGCAAGGAGCCCGATGTGGGGCTCGATCCCAGGACCCCGGGATCATGACCTGAGTCGAAGGCAGACGCTTAACCGACTGAGCCACCCAGGCACCCCGGCTTTTCCTTTCTTTCCCACATTTGAAAGATCACTCATGTCCAAGGCCCAGTCAAATATTACTTCCTGTATGAAGCCTTAACTGATTTCCACCACAAAAGACTATGTCAATGGCTTCCTCCTCTGTGCTTCCATAGCCCCTCGTTATACCTCTATACCCCACGACTCTGCCTTATCTTATACTTAGTTGTATAATGTGCTTATGCCCTCCACTAGTGGGGAGAATACAGCTGGACTCACCCGTTTCCACACAGCGCTTTCATACACAGCAGGGACTCAAGAAAGGGTCACTGAATGAAATGGCAATAAAATCACTAGGCCAAGCCTCCCGTCCCTTTCTGGCTCCTGGAGCCTTCTCATCCTTACAACGGCAGCCGGCCAGCCACTAGAGCCTCCACCTCCTAGCTCTCAGCCCACAGTTCTAAAATTAACGTCATGATCACAGGGGCTTAGAGGTCAGGGCCATCATTAGAAACACTTACAGCTACTTCTATAAGAAATCGAATATTCTCTTTCGTCAGTGGGAAATAAATGCCTCTTCTGCTAAGTCTTCCTGGATCTCCTATAAGAAATAACCTCTACCTTCTCTGTACTCCCCTATTACTTTGTATTTCTCCCTTATTTTGGTTATTTCCACATATACACATCCTATCCTTTTAGCTCCTGAAAAACATACACTCTCTCTAGTTCCTTAAGAATACCTTATTCATCTCCGACTCTCTCAAATTATATTGGATATAATGGTGTTTAAACACAACAGGTACTTACGAAATGTCAACTATGAATGCAACTGCATTTAAAGCTCTACCAATTAACCTACAACTTTTGAAACCCAATAGCTTTAATTTACTAAAGTCTGCATGTGCTGAAGCCTGTTAAGATGTTTCTTCCTCTGACCCTCCCCCCTCTCATGTACTCTCTCTCATTCTCGCTCTCTCAAATAAATAAATAAATCTTTAAAAAAAAAAAAAAAAAGATGTTTCTTCCGAGAGTGAAGATAGGTTGTTAAAAATCCTAATGAATGAGATTCAGCAAAGCAGATGTCTTTGGGAATTTTCTAGAAAGAGGACACTTAATTGTTTTGTTCTGTTTTAACCAGCTTGCACACTTCTTCATCAGGTCCTTTCCACGGGTGGCCTTCCTCTGCTCCACAGGGAGGAGGCACACAGATGGCATCTGCAGTAACGTATGCACTCTGACATTAGTGGGACTGCTTAGCAAAGTCCAGAAGACAGAATCATGGAGTTTGTTGTATTTTGAATGGAGAACACAAGAGGCCAAGCAATTAATTAAAAGTAGTAGGTTTAAAATTTCCCTAATAAGCAGCTTAAAATATGTAGGACATTTCTCATTTTGAACTATGGATGCTCCATCTACAATTACCAACCTTTAACCTCTTTACTCTGCTGGGGAGGGGAAGGCACAAACTTAATGGCCATCAGTGTGTTTATTCTATCTACCAAACAGGAAATCTTTACTAAGGAAACAATCTCAAAGGGAACCACCTTCAGTGGGGGCTATGAGCTTAGATTGCTATGAGGCGCTGATATGAGAACTGAGCATGCAAGAATGAATGATATGATCGGGGCCTGACAACCACAGGGATCCACATCTGGGGAAGCACCTGCTTCGACAGCATGTTACAACCAGAGGGCTGGCTTCAGTAGCTAGACCGATGACCAACAGCAAGATTTCAGTAAGATTCAACAACTGCCCCCCCATCTGCTTGCCCTTGTTTCCTATTACACACCAAGCAAAAATCCTCTAGTCTTGCAAACCTGTCAAGGGGTCTCCCGTAACCACTCCACATGCTGTTCCCACTCCTAACTGCACATTTAAGCAAAATCCACCTCTCCTTGCCTGCTATGACACTTTATTTTTTTCCCATCAAAGCCAGCTTCCTCCAATGAACGATCCTGGGTTATCCCAATTCACTCTTCAATGTACCAAACCTAACAGAATATGACCCACCCTCCCTCTTCAATCCACGTATTACTGTAAATTCACAGCTTCACCGAAAGCAGACTGCTGCCGTATCCTCTCTGCTAGCCTCCTCACAAGTATTTCACGTGCGTCTGCAGGATGCTGTGTGGCTTGTAAGTTACAGCTCTGGCTAGCCCACTGTCCATTCACCAATAACGTAACTTATTTCCTGAAAATTTAAGTTACTGATGTGGGAGAAACCTCAAGTTATTAACATACTAAATCTGGAACTCATTTTGAAAGTTTAGTTCCTTCTAATCTACACTCTGGGGACTGAATAACTAGATTGGGAAGAATACCTCCTCTTTATTCTCTTAGCTGCTTACCTTTGAGGGGCATTTTGCTACACATTTTAAGAAGACTGGAAGGAAAAAATGAAAGCAGTTGAAACTCAAACCAGCCTATTTTGGGTTCTGTTGGTAGTTTCAGGAAGTAACTCCCCACTGCTCGGTTGTTGTGGAAGAGGCATGGGGCAGGTGGGGACACTCACCCTTGCTCCACACATGGCTTGTTTTTACTCAGATTTTTGTTCTCTGGCCTTATTGAGATAAATGTCATATTCCATAAAATTCACCCACTTAAGATGTACTGTTCAGTGGCTTTTAGGATTTTCATTGAGTTGTACAACCATTACCTCAACCAATTTTAGAGCATTTTCATCACCCTAAAAAGAAACCTTATACCCATCAGCAGTCAGTCCCCATTTCTCCCCCAACTCTCCCACCAATGAGCCCAGCCCCAGGCCATCACAAATCAACTTTCTGTCTCTATGGATTTGCTTATTCTGGACATTTCCTATAAAAGGGATCATACACTATGTGGACTTTGTGTCTGGCTTCTCTGTTCCTTAGCATAATGCCTTCAAGGCTCATCCATGTTTTAGCATCTATCAATCAGTACTTTTGTTCCTTTCTTTACCACTGACTAATATTCCATGGTACGGTTATACTACATTTTATTTATCCACTTACCAGTAGATGGACATTTAGGTTATTTCCACTTTTCAGTACTATGAGCATCCTTGTATGTTTTTTGTGAGTGTATCTTTTCATTTCTTAGGGTATATACACACATACACACACACACACACACATATAAACTTACACCCTAAGGATATATATGTATCTATCTGTATCTATATATCTATATCTACTCTTAGACATATACATATATATCTATATATATCATATGGTATGGTAACTCCATGTTTAAATTT